TTGGTTTGGAATCTTTTAATTTCAATTTTTATTTTTCATTTTTGTTAATAATATTTTTTAATTGTCAGCTTTTATTATTATTTCAATTTTTTATTTTCTGGTTGTAGCTTGTATGTTATTTCCTTGTAATTTAAGTTTTTTGTTTTAATAAAATTGTTATTTTCTGTTAATCTTCAATTTTTTTCAGGGATTTCAAATCAATTTATACTATATTAGACAATGGAAGTCTGAACTGAAAAAATACACCACGAAACATTGTCAACCATCTTCAAACAAATGTTCATATATGACATCATTACCGATACCTCTCTCAGGGTAAGAAACCTCTATTCTGAAAATTAGAAATTTACAAAACTTTCTTTGAGCTTTTTCAATGGATATGTTATGAATCTCATAGAATGGACTCCAGACGATACTTGCATATTCTATCTTCGAACGTATGTAGGTGAAATACAACAGCTTCATGGCTTTAATATTATGAAAATTTCTGCAATTTCTAACAGTGAAACCATAAGCTCTGAGAGATTCTGAAACTTTTAGTGAAAAATGTCTACCAAATGTTAATTTATGATCGAATATTACTCCTAGGTATTTGATCTCATTACATCTCAGCAGATCTGAATCCTGTATTACATACGGGAATGTATAAACCTCTTTTTTTCGACTATAACTCAACTACTCTATTCGAGGGGAAACTTTCTAGCGCATATTATCAACTTTGTCACTTATTTCGTTTGTTTGAAAGTGCTTGACAATCTTTCATGGTGAATTTTAATATATGATTCGAAATCTATGAAAGAACAAATAAAATCAGAATGAATAACTGAAATATCAATTATATTAGACAATAAAACGTGAAATGAAAATACAATAAAAATAACAAAATAATCAAGATAAAAGATGAAAATAACTGTTGATATTAGCTTAAAAAATAAAAGATGTTAGTTGTCGCGCCCTCTAGTAGCATATGTAGCAGTTACTTTGTATTCCCGTTCTTTTTCTAATAAAGCAGTTTCTTGCTGATAGTTGAACAA